GGGAAATTAAAACTCATAGCTACCCAGGAATGAGGTAGTCCTCTAGTAAAGCTGGGTTGCAGTTAATTAAGAAATGATTCACCGCACTGTTAATTTTTAAAAAGAGCTATACGTTTGATGGTGGTTCCTTCAGGCGGTCATGAATTGTTGGGAATTTATCAATTAGCAAGCTGGTTAGAAAGTAGTAACGTAGGATTTACACAAACTTCTTCAGAATAACTACTTTGCATCTTTTTTGCAAACTAAAATCGTAAAAAGGAATCGGACATTATAACAAGTACAGGGTGAAGACTACTTTGGATCACCCAGGTAATCACAGACCCATTCTAACCACGACTACTGACACCAATTCAGTAGGTTGGGTTCACCACGACCTTACCAAATCCTTCCATATCTCATAACATTCGCCTAAGCTTAATCTAAAATGCATCTTCTTGCTTGCTAATGCAAAATGCACAACATACTAGGCCTTTAATACAGCCTCAAACTAGTCTACAATTAGTATCTCCTCCCGGTTCTATTCTACACTCATATTGGCCCATATACAATGCCTCGGTACATCAAGTCTTGAGGGTCCAATTGGGCAACCAAAACAGAGATACCTCTACATTGATTGCTAAATCAGCATATTTGAGGTGCAGCATAGATGTGCTTATATCGCCACTCCAATACTAAGAGTAACGAAATTAAGGTAGAAGTCAAAAGAAAATCTAGCAGGTCTCCTAATAAGCCAACTTCATGGCATTCCGCGAAGTCAGTCTGTGTGGATGCGGAGAGATCTTGTACAAAGCCAACGCAGCCAATCGATTGCAAAAATACTCCAGGATATGGACAGTAGTATATCAGATCGGCTTAAAGACAGTTTGGTCAGACTGTTTAGCCACCGAATTCAATCGCGTATCCTATTAGATAGACTTATCAATTCTATCATGTACACGTTTCTTTGATATGTGAGCAAGCAGAAAATAATGGAATGCTTGACTTCAATTAGTAGCGACCATAAACATCAATCCCCTTGTGCCAGGCAGGGTTGAAATTGGTCCTAGTTCACACAGTCTAGACGATTTCCCATCGGTGCCACCTTATCCCATGGTATCAGATAATTTGGATGGATAAACATGCTAATTCGTCAGTGATTCTAGCTCAAATAAATGTATGGTTCATCTTAGGTTTTTAACACACATCTAAGATAACCATATTCTACTCCTAGACTGCACTAGAGCCTTCGGCCTAGATGAAGGGAGAATCTGTGACCTTTATCTTGTTCGCCACCGACATTACACAAATATGATGCCCTACAACACCTATTTCAAGTTATCGTTAAAAGTGTGTGACAACTGGCCCACATCTGTGCATCATAGCTGGTTTAATAAAATGACATTATAACAAGAAGAGAAGTGTCAAACATTCCTGGCCTAAGGCGAAGTACATTTCTCTGTTTTTCCACGCCCGCTGAATCGGTCATTTTGGTAGTGCAAAAATTCTTACCTTAATGAGGCAACGCAATATACTAAATTTGTTAGAAGATTTTCCACTCAGGCTAAAGTGTAATTGCCTAAACAACCGCACATGCATTTACTGACAGAAAGAAGTTAACCCTGAAGTGCTGCCTGAGTCCAGTCTGTGATACCTTGTCTTGCAGGCAAACTTCTACGAGTCACCATAGCCGCTTCGCGTGCCTCAGAGGGTGTCTACACCCCACATTCAAACACTCGATATACAACTTAGCATTACCTGCTTGAGAGGGGCAATATCGATATCAATAACACTTTTTATAACTTGAAAAATAGTTGTCTAAGTCAAAATCATATTTGAGAGAAAGATGGAGACCTCAAGCCAACATCCACAATTTCAGTTATTGGTAGAACGATTTCAAAGGAACCGTTTTCAAAATATTCCTTTGTAGCTTTAAATCAGTGGTTTACCGCAGACATAGGTGCACACAACGAGTTCATGGGGCAGTTGCAAACAGGCCGCAGAGACGAGGGTTGGTTTTAAACGCTTAAAATGCTAGAGCTCACAACTATCAGTGGCAGTCACAGACGATTGTTTCGTCGAAGCATGAAGTAACTCGGTTCACCCAATTCAACATGGTTTTGAAACACCAGAGAGCAATCACATGGGGAGCCAGAAAGGTGGAAATTGATAACTCTTACTGGCACCAGGAGTAATTCTCAACTCCCCAAACACCAACTTCATTCCATGCCATTCACCATGGATATGGATGCTAGCAGTGCGACTGCAGGAGGTGCAATCGCAGCTCAAGACAAACTTGTCGGGGAACACATCGACGACTACTGACGCTGGTACCAAACTGAATAAACGGATGAGATGTAAAAACGCTCTACTTCCATATACTTAGGCGAAATTTGGCTTTGTGGAACACCTTAAACAATATCTTGTTCCAAATGTGAAAAGATAATCAATCTTTACAACAATAAAACACACGTTTTCTGTTGTTGCCATTGAGTGAATTTGGCAATTGGATTTAGTATTATCACACCTTCAAGGGTTATTTACATCGCCTTACATTGCATGTATTGCACAAATTTCCAGTTGGTAACTCATGTAGAGGATTACTTCATGTCAAAAATGAACCTAAAATGCCATTACATCGACAACTGCGGTGTAGGCGCATCAGCTGCTGACTCTTTGAATGTTGAGAGCGTCAGTGAAAGTTGCCAAGCAAGCGTTTTGCAACATCAGTCTACTTTTCAGCTTCTCTTTACCGCAAGATGGCTACTTGCTTTTGGATGCAGCTTATGTACTGCATCGGCTTGAGCTCATATGAGTTACTTTTGCAAGGTCTGAAAATGCGACGATTGCATTTGTCAGAGCACTTTCATCTGCCTGACAACTTAACTAGACCGGAGGGAATTTTTCATCACGAAATTGCTCATCGATCAAAAAGCGGGAAAAGTAATGAATTGCTTGTTTTAAACTGGATCAAACGTAGTGAGGCAATTTAATTTCGGTAACGGCAAACAGAACGCCACACAATATGCATTAGCATTTTATCCACTACAAAGAAGGTTTCCATATTTTTTGCAAAATTATTTAATTTTAAAATCACTCACTATCCCCACCTTCTTATACATGATTTAAATAATAAAAGGATGCTGCATGCGTTTTAATGTTTTCACGGTTTTGCGTGCATCAAGCGATCATCCATTCAGTCATTTAAGTGAGCGACGCTTCCGAGGCGACGGACTTCATCTGAAGGACTTCCTCGTAAATATTTACAACTTAAGCTTGCGCGCCAGCGTTCTGATCTACTTATTGCTTACAGTGTTTTTCACTTTGTTGCATAAACTTTCTGTTCTTTCC